GCTCCTGCACTGGTGTACTCAAGAAATGCAGACACCTGATCACCAAGTCCCTTAAAAGCTTGGAAACCAATTGAAGTCCGTAAAATAAGAAGACCGAAAACAAACTGTAAACCAAGACCCCATATGACAGGGCGCCATTTAACCTAGAATAACAACATTGGAGTAGTGTTAAAATATGTCTGCCTGGGTTCACGAGGGAGCTATCTCTTACAATTTCTCTAGCTCTAGGGTACAGTATAACAATAAGCCTAGACAAAACTAAATAAAAATATACACAAAAGAAACTCAACAAACCCTTGCTGAGCAAGCCTAACAAGAATTACAAGTATAAAACCACACACTTTACAATGGAACAAAACTGAAACCAGTTAGTGAGGGATTAAGTTCCATATTTTTTCTCATACTACCGGTACATCATAGATATTTTTACAAATACAGTAACAACCCATGTGTAAGAACCTACATTTTTTGAAGTCTGACAAAATAGGTTCTTGTATTTTGGGTTAGTTATTGACAATTTAGGCTACGTACAGTAGGTGCTTAATTAGGTTCTTAATTTCTTAGCAGGAGATTTCCAGATTAACAGAAAAATAAACTTGGGTTTAGTCTTTATATATACTGTAGAGTATTAAATCACAGCTGTATTATGCATTTTCTAGTAAATAAATTTGCAATCTTAAAGTCACACTCCTTGATTAAAATGTTTATCATAATTTAACTGTAACCCATGCATACATGTAAGAACCAGCTTGATCTTGCTTGGCTACACATGTCCTTATATTTTTGCTGTACTATATGTTAATGCACAAAAAATTAAGACTCAGGAGAGGACTAAGACTGGAACACAAGATACCTTTCTGCGGTGTTTGGAAAAGATCCAGCAGAAGAGGATATTTGCAAACAATCCAGCAAGGGAAATGAAACGCTCTGGTTGTTTGGCTGTGTCCAGTCCAAAGAATACTCCTAAAGCCACCAAGACAAGAACAAGCACAACCCTGAAAACAAACAATCAAATCTATTAATTATTGTATTTTTATTTGTACCAAACATAACAGACCCATAGCTTAGCAAGGAAATAGCCTGTAACATTGACCATGATTCTTTTCCAACCCTAAAAATGCAAAATATATACATGTAGGACCTAGCTGCACCTCAGCATCCACTTGTTGCTGTACAGTACTTAATTTACTTTGGGTTATACAAATAAACAAGGAACAGGTTCAACCACCAAAACAAGTCGTGCATGAAAAACAATCACCTGAAGACTAAAACCATGGCCACAATAGTGCTGATCACAACACTAGCTTGAAACACTTTGTTGGTAAACCTGCATTCCAGCATTACAAATTAATTATTTATAATAGCACCATTGCTATTGTAACTACCACTTGTTCTTTCAGTGTTATGCATTCAATTTGAATTAGTTCTCTCTGATATTTAATTGCCTAACCCAAACCTGAGGGTAATTCATTACAAGTCATATATCTTTTTCATTTTCTTTACACTACATATAATTTGGTGATATTCAAAAGGATAGTATACTTACCACTTGAGATATTTCCATTTACTATTTACTCCATTAATGATGGGCTGCAAAACCACTCGATAGATTTCACCTCCACAGTGATTACGAATAAACATGTAGGTCATGCAAAACCACAGGAACATGGTGATAGCAAATAGCCACTTTGCCTTGTCAAATCCACTAATAGCAATGGCTACAATGCTGTATGTTAGCAATGTTACTGTTAAGCACACAAGGACGATGGACATGCCATGCTTTTCCCAAAGCTCGTGGAGCTTGTTCCTTTCTGGGGACTCCTCCCATATGGCTATGAGAACATGGAAGCCCCTCTTCTCCTGAACAGGACTGTCATCCTTTAAACTGGACTTGGACTCGTTGATACCAGACATCTCCAAATGATCAAGCTTAAGTTGAATGAGAATTAAACCTGTGTTAGCAACTGAGGGCAAATCAACAGTGCTAATTAAAAGAGCAGCATAACTGGGCCAGGTAGTTGATAAGCTGATTAACACTATTCTGGGATTAAAATTTAATTGAGCTTTTGATTACTCTTGAATAAAATTATTTCCATTTGTAATGTTTCATGAAGGCTGCTTTTCACTAGCACACAAGCATAAGCAACATACCACATTTTAAGATGGCTCTGAACCCCACGTACAGTATTTCTTTGAACTTTGCAAAACGTTGTACATAATCCAGCTTATCAAAATTCGGTATTAACGAATGGGGGTTTCCAAGCTTGTTTTTGACTTATTAACAGTCAGGGTTGTAGTTAGAAATTGGAATAGATGGAAGAATATGTTTAATAGGTGGAATGAAACGAGCAAAGCGAGCTAAGCGAGTGGCCAACGGCCATGAGCTTCTAGGGGGGTTCGGGGGCATGCCCCCCCCGGAAAATTTTGGACATGTTATAGCCTGGAGATGCAATTTGATGAGTTCTGGTGAGGCATTTATAGAGAAAAATTAGTACTTTAAGCAACTAAAACTCTAGGAATTTAAAGGTCTCAGGAAGGGCACCCTCTGCTGATTTAATAAGTAAATAACAGAACTTTTGTTTTGAAAGTGCCTATGAAAGTTAAAGTAAATTGTGATTTTTGTATCAGAAAGCATTGATGCCTGTGTTAAACTCTCAACCTCTCCTAGGTTAATTCTGAAAAGTTGCTTCTACTCAGTCAGACCTGAGACAAAACATCGTTGAAAGTAGTGCTTATTTCCTCACGTCCTTTCTCCAAGGAGATGGGATCTTCTTCTGTAGAAGATAGCTTCAAAGTTGAAGTCGATGCTGCTGCAGTAATTATTTCACCTCTCGGCTTCTCTGACAACGAAGTTGTTTCGTTATCACAATCTTCGGCGAGCAGACTGTCTTGATCGTCCGTGTTCACGGCTTGTAGCGTATCATCAGTGTTCACATGTTGTCACGTCGAAAAAAAACACTGTTTAAAGTCTTCTGCTTGGTCAATTTAATCTTTTTTGGTGCAGACATCTCCAACTTTGCTCGAAGCAATGATGTTTTTCAGCGCACGTGGGACTGAAAAATTCCGGCACTGTCAAACCGCGCTCGAGTCACGTGCAATGGCTACATAACATAACTAGTACGTAAACAAGTAGGTGTATTTATACAAAGCGAAAATTGAAAACTGTCGAAATGTTCTAAATGCTTGTCTTTCTTAACAGTCTATGACAATGACAAAACAATCGGCATTTGCAGAAGAAGCATATTCTTAATT